ATAAAACTCTCTCTTATACATGAGTTGCTGTGGATTTGTTTCTCCAAAGTACCTAGACTAATACACCCTCTGTATATGAAGGAGCTTCAAAAAGTTGTGGAAAACTCCACTATCTTTCATTCCAATTTTTGTGAACTTTTTGAGGTGTTGGGTATATGAGGGGGTACCCTTCCCCAAATCAGAAAAAATCTCCCCAGCGGAACGTTCATAGTACACATTTTTCCCACTAGGAGATCATCAAGCAACACGCTCTCAGTGAGCGCACCCGCTGGCATCATCTGGGAAGGTTCTCTCTGGTCACAGTAAATTTTTTCGTAAAGCAGTTTCGCTCGAATCTTAGGCTGATTTAAGAGAACAGCGTGTGGCTGTGGAATTTTATTTCTTGCTCATGAAAAATGCCACAGGAACTGTTGTGATGTTGAGCACTGCTTACAAGGACAGCGCTAGGAGGAAAAAACTCAAGGGTACAAGTGGCTTTCTCATTTCAAAAAAGGTGCAATGTCGACTGATGACAAACCTTATTCTGGACATCCATCAACTTCCTGAACGAATGAAAACGTCAACTCATAGTACATTTGGAGTTTGTTCCACCAGGTCAGGCTGTTAATCAAGCTTTCAATTTAGAGGTTCTGAAAAGATTGTGTAACAGTGTGCTACAAAAAAGGCCTGATTGGTGGCATGTGGGGGACTGGTTTTGCCACAACAATGCGCCTGCTCATGCAGCCATCTCAGTGTGCCAGTTTTTGGTCAAAAACAGCACACCTCTTTTGCCCCACACACCTTACTCACCCGACCTCACTCTGTGTGACTTTTTTTGTTTCCACAAATGAAGAGGGACATAAAAGGACAACAATGTGATGACACAGAAGAGGTGAAAAAGAAACCAAAAAGCGAGGGAGGTTCTGTCAGCCATCCAAACAGATGAGTTTGAAAAATGTTTCCAATCTACAGACAAGAGCCTGAAACACAGAGAATCCAGAATAGATAAACCCCCCAGGGCCAACAATGAGATTAGAGATACCAGGAGGATTAGGGGAGGGTGAGGGGAGAAAAGGAAAATCGATCACAAGGTTCAACCTAGAACCCCCTCAGGGGGACGAACAAAGGAAAAGTGGATGAGGGGCGATGGAGGAAGCTGGAAGATATGAAAATAATAATATATAACTTAACAAGGGTTCATGAGGGAGGGTGGGCAGGGGAAGGTGGGGGAAGCAATGGGGAGCTGATATTAGGGGCTCAAGTGGGAAGAGAATGCTTTGAAAATGATGATGGCAGCATATGTGCAAATGTGCTTGGATGTACAGTGGATGAATGTATGGATTGTGATGAGATGTAAGAGCCCCCAATAAAAGTATTAAAAAGAAAAGAAAAGAAATTCCAGTTAGGAAAAAAAATGTTTTCAAGAATGAAAACACAGATTTGACAAATGTATTAAGTGAAATGGGGAGTACTTTAAAGGTCATAAGGTTCTTTTGTGAAAAAATTTAAATACATAGCTTTGAGGGAAAAACATTTTTTTCCAGTTTTTTTGGGGGGGAACCCCTTCATATTCATATGTTCTTAATATTCATTTATGGAAGAAAGGGAAAAGGAGTGAATGGAAATTTTAACTCATGTATTCAGAGTTCTGGCATGGAGAGGAAAAGAGTTAAACTTTTAAGAAAAAGATCACATATGGACATACCCAACAGAACACCATGGAAGAGGAAGAGCTAATCATAGCAAAGATAGTAGTGTGGTTGTTACATAATCTTGTGTCAATTTGAGGGTATTAAGAGTGAAGGGATGGAGTCTAGCCTGTCAATCAGGTCACAGCTTGATAATGCCTCCTTGAGGATTCTGGGATTCACATGAGGCATTCTCATGAGGATTCTGGGAAATTCCTCTCTCTGCCTTGGTCTTCCTGTTGACAAGCCACTCAGAGACTTGCTCAGCCCTGCGAGAGCCTCTCTCTCACTTACTCAGCCCTGCGAGAGCCTCTCTCTCTCTCTGCTTTACCTTCCTGTTGAAGAGCCAGCTCCCACATGGAGACCTGCTCCGGTGCTGAGATGCTTCCACCACCTTTGGATACACAAGACTTTGGATCCACACGACTTTGCACCCACCAGCCTGTGATCTTTCTGCATTTTGCATCATTGCAGGTGACTGCATGAGTCTCAAGAAGGATTTTTGAACTTATGGACTTATATCAGACTTATGGACTTCGTCCAGACTGGCTGGGATGTTTTCTCAATATACAATTGCTCCTTGATGTAAAGCTCTCTTTTACACATCTATGAGTGTCTCTACATTTGTTTCTCTAGTCAACCAGGCCTAACAGAGTAAAAAACCTATCCAGTTTCAGCAGGTCTTCTAGGATAAGACAGACTAGAGAGAAAGGCCTGGTTCTCTACTGAAAATGAGCCGAACCCCCACCCCCCCACAGATCACAAGAGAATACTGACCAGTACAGCACTGGAGGACAAGCCCCCGCAGGTGGAAAGTACTCAAAAGAAACAGTGGCCTCAGCAATGAACTTGAACAGACTAACGATGAGGAAGATAACACAGGACAACATTTTGCTCGGTTGTACATGGGATCCCTATGAGGCGGTGTTGACCATATGTCAATTAACAAGATCAACAATCAGAACTAAAACAAATTTATCAGTGTACCCACCTCAGTGCCTAACATAGGTACTCAACATTTATTAAATATGTATACAAGTGAATGAACATGAGCATGGTCTTGCTTCTTCATTTGCAAATTTAATATTTTTTAAATTATAATTTGTCTATGGTACTTTCTTTCTCCCCCATAACCCCAACCTCTCTCTCCCTGTTGTGGTGTTTATTGTTTTCTTTAAGTTGTCGTATTTATCACACACTAACAACCAATGTGTTCCCTTTCCCCACCCCGAAAACCATTTTGTTCCAATCATTGTTTTTTTGTCTCATCTGAAATTTCACATCCTTCATGCCCATGCATTTTCTTCACCATTATTTTTCTTAGAATGACAGGTTTATAACATTGTTCTTCTCTGAAATCAATTTTAAAAGGCTTATTTGGCATTGCATCATCCTGCCAGAGGATGAGCAATGCAAGAGAAACCAACTGTGGCGAGAACACTGGGGAACCAACCTACCAAGGCACTGTCCATTCCAGCCTCGGAACCCTTCGGTGCAGGGGACACACTGGTAAGATCCTGGAGAATTCACACACTGCTCCTCCGGGCAGTTACTTGGACTCAAACATTCATTAATATCTGGGGGGAAAAATTAAGAGCCAGGTCACACACATTTGATCAGATTAACAAAGCAAAAATTCACTTTGTGAAGAGGGGCAAAAAGCAGCACATCTACACTGCCGGGAGGGGAGCAATGCCTGGCCAAGTGACACGCGAGGTCCCCTGAGCACCCAGCAATAAGGCGCTGTTGGGTACCCCCTGACTAAAGGACTGGCACGCGTTCCAGATTCTTCAACTCTCAGCTCCTCTGTGTCCACTTTCTGGACATCAAATCTTTCAAGTGACAGTAAAGTTTGCCAGAAAGAAACACGAGGAAGGGGAGCGAGAGTGAGGGACCCCTAGCTCCAGCGATGAGGAGTTCTCGCTGCAGGAAGCAGATGCTTGACAGAAATCCTCCTTGTGACTGAAGGGACCCAGGAGCATCCTACATTGAAATAATTTATGACAGAGATCCCCACATGGTAGAAAAAGAACATTCGGAGGAAAAGAGTGAACTCAGCCTCCTTCCAGATTTTAGTATGGTTGACAGCAAAACATTCTTTTGGTAAAGAAATACCATCGTTTGTAAGATTCAAGGTTGATATATTAGTTATAGTTAGTTTTGAAAAGAAGAGGGAAAAACACCTTAACAATTCTTGCGACTGTGGATGAGATCATTGCAACAGGCTGGGGCATTTTTAAGAGTGGGCAAACAAGGACACATTAGAAGGGAGATGCAGAGGTCTGAGTGTACTCATGGTGGCCAGGAGTGAGCAGCAGGAGGGAGGGAAGAAGGCTCCTTGAGCTGCTGCAGTGGGTAGATGGGACACCGGGGAACAGATAAGGGCGATGGTTGACTAACAGGATGGACGTAAGCTCACGTCTGTGGAGTTTGCATGTGAAGAATGCTGACATGGTACATGCTGTGTTACAAACACACTTATCACAATGTAAAATTATATCTTAAAAAAGAGGGACAAAAATGTGTAGTGAAGGGGCAGGTGAGCGAGTAGCAGAAAACAAGAGACCCTGAGGGCGAATGATGTTTCTCTTCCAGCCCTCACATCTAGCACCAAGGATCAGCACACCGAACTCCAGAACTGGGATTTCAACTTAAACAAAAAGCAAAACAAAAAACCCTCAGATTATTAGGGTCTCATTTTAAAAAGCGGTAGCAATCAACACCCCCCAAACAAGTCAATAGGACGTGTTATACTATGATCAACTTAAGAAAAATATCCAAAGGCAATCCCTTGGATACTAGCTCCTGTTAAAATAAACAATACGCTAAAGGTAGATTTTGAATTCAAACAAGCATATTAAATGTCTTAAGTGTGATGAATGTAAATGTTTTTGGACCTCTACTCATCTTCGAAAAGGAGCCTTGGTGCTTCGGTTATTCAGTGCTTGGCAGCTAACAAAAACATCGGCGGAGAGAATCCCACCAGCTGCCCTGGGGGCAGAAAAAGTATGGCCATGTGCTTGTAAAGATGAGAACCACGGAAACTGAGCGATCCGGCTCCACTCGGTCCTTTGGGGTCATTATGACGTGCAATCGACTCTACTCCAATGGGGCACTTGAGATCATCTTTACAATAGAAGTGCTTTTTTCAGGACATGAACTGAAACAAGAAAGGACGTGAATCACGGGTCCACTAAATGGGTATCTAGCCGTCGTAACTGTGGTCAGTCCTTATGAACGCTTTCACCGTACCTAGCGGCAGGCATGTGTGAAGGGATGCTGAACACCTGAGGATGGCACTGACAGAAGTCCCAGGTCAGCACTGCCATCTCCTCTCCGTAAAACAGTTCCTGCCAGCGGACAATGAGCCCCCAGTGGGTGTTTTTAGGTCAGATGTTCTGGGACTTCGGGTTCTACAGCAAGGTGGGGTTTGCCAGTTTCATTTTCCAACGAGCATTGCATTCTCCTCTGGATGGGGAGGGTCTCTTGGTTTTGTTCTTTTCAATCGTAGAAATACAGCTGCTAGCTCAGAGAAGGTCACCGAGGCAGGCTGGGGCACTGCTGAGCCATCCAGGATAACGTCCCCTGCACTTCCCACAGCTCTCACTTCTGCTGGCGTGTTCTCGTGTCCAGGAACTGGGGACTACCTGCCTTGTAACGCATTCAAAGAATAAAGTGAGGCTGCATGAGATAATGTCTGCACACTACAACGGGCTCCTTGGAGACTGGCGCTGCTTGAGAGCAGCTCTGTTAGGGACAGCTGAGCAATCTGCAGTGCGCCAGCAGCCCGGGGACCGTTGGTTGTGGTCCATGAGGGGATGGGAAAACAGGCGCAGGCTTGGCTCCCTCGCCTCTCTGAGCCTTTTCACCAGGGTGGAATTTTGCATTATTTCCCAGGAGAACCCTGGTACTACTTCTGCTAAATCATTTCCATCTAGTGAGGATGGCTGTTTCCGAGCTGTCATTGAATGATTGTCAAACTTCGGGTCTACTCCTTTCCGTCTTTCCGGGCACTCTAGGTTTTTTCTTAAATATTACAGCTTTCCATCCTGGGGCTGTTCTGCCATGCAAAGAAAGGACCCGCATTTGACTTCTCTTTGTGGGGGTGTCACTTTGCACCTCTTTGTCAGGTAAACGACTCCCCTCTACTTCCATCCCTCCCACCACACACACACCTGAGCATTTTCCCAACAGGAATGTGCTGAGAAGACCTATGCCCCCCACTGAAGGGGCTAGGGAGGAGGGAGGTTTACACCGACCAGTGCTTCCCAGTGGTTATGTGTCTGCCCTGTGGGGTCTCTCTGAGTCAGAATCGGCAGGGGGCGGAGTGCTTCTTGAGTACTACTAACCCGATGGGTACGGTACAAGAACCCCCGCATGTATTCATTTTCATGACAATCTCAAGGTAACCGTCAGGTTCGAGGGAGCTCCGGGCCAAGAAGGAGCGGTACACCTGGACTGGGTCATCTGGACCAGGTGAATTTGATTCAGCCAATGGGGTTGACCACACCTCCCAATGAGGGTCCAGAACAGCCAGCGGTGTTGCTCGGGTGCTCTCTCCCAATGGCTGATACACAGCTCAGTGCAGCAACACAGCCCAACGCCGCCAACCATGCCGCGGACTCTGCCTGGCTTGTGTTTCATTTACTGTCAAACCTGAAACTGCTTCAAACTTTCATAAAACTCACTTGGGTAACAAACCAGGCTTCAGCGTGAATTCTGTCTCACCAGGAGCCACCGACCGAGGTATCTCTCTCCAGAGAGAGAGAAAGAGAGAGAGAGAGATCTAACATAACTTCATAAATCCCATTTTGCAGATGATGCACGAAGTTGCAAAGACCCAGGTAATGAACTTGAGGCCACATGGTGACTAAAGGTGGGGGCCCTGAGCTGATGCTGCAGCCCAGGTACTTTCTTGTTTCCATTCTTCTCAGGAGCAAGAGCGTTCCCTGCACACCCCTTGGGGACACTCACACCTATGCCTGACCCACACCTCTCAGCTGTCAGGGGAGAGTTCATGGCTCCAGCCTTATCCCAAGTTGATCAGAAATCCAGTAACACTGTGAATCCTCCCACTCCCCTCTAGAGTGGGTCCCCAGGGCAAGGGTGCGGGAGCAAGGCAAGAGGCTAACAGGAGAGGCGGCCGAAGACTGCCAGAAAAGGTCTCCTGAGCTCTCTCTCCAAGCCCAGGCCATCAAAGCTGTGACAAAGCCCAATATGTGCAGGCCATGGGGCAGCTGAGAAGAAACATTGCCCCCTAATCTCTCTCTGCCTAACTCCAGAAGTCAGGCTGAATTCAATGAGGCTGGTCTCCAGGCAGTCCAGACAGAAGCCCTGGGCACCCGCACTGTCCTCCTGTCATTGCCGACACCTCGACCACTCTCTCAGAAGCCCCAGCTCTTCAGCTCTTTCCCCGGACGTGTCTAAGACAGGGAAAGAGACAGCCCCAAGATGACTTCGACTAGATTCATGTAACGGGCACAAACATTTACAAACACATTAAATGGGTAACCATTTAGGCCATGCAATAAATATTTTCCAAAACACTTTTCTAACAGGAGAGAGCTAACTCCTGTGGTCTTAATAAAGGCATTTTATCTGGCACAGCTGGTATCTGAGCGGCACTGGTCAGATCATCTTCCTGTAGGGAGGGAGCAAGGAAGTCCCAGAACTCATGTAAACAGAGAGGAGTTGAGATAAAAGCATGCAGCTGGGAGGAAAGGTCAAAAACTTAGCATGTGTTGTTCTGTTGTTCATGGGGGGGGGCCGGGGGGATTGGGGTAATGTGTTGTTCACATTACCCCTGGTATTGCTACTCCCATTTCTGTGAAACATGGATAAAGGGAAGATAGTGGTCAGTGTAAGATTTGAAAAAAATAAAAATTTATAATCTATCAAGGGGTCAAAGGGTTAGGGGGGGAGGGTAAAAAGAGGAGCTGATACCAAAAGCTCAAATAGGAAGGAAATGTTTATGAAATGGTGATGGCAAAGTTATGTACAAATATGCTCCATACAAGTGATGGTTGGAATGTTCTAAGATTTGTAACAGCCTCTAATAAAATGATTACAAAAGAAAAATTTAAGCATCAACAATGATTATACCTGTGCCCCATTCCCAGCAGCGTCACCCGGGCACTATAATAAATTCTGAGTTTGTACTAAGCTAGTCTGTCGGTAATGATGCTGACATAGACTTTACTCCAAATACCAGGGGAGGCAGATTCCGCAGTGAGTTAAAAAGGAGCACAAGAGTGGAAGCTCATCCTAATGCAGCCCCGGAAGTGAGGGGGTCCAGGAAGTAGGGAGCACCCAGGTTCAGGATGAGAAGGCGTGTTAGACCCGGGCCCAGGTCAGGGGCCACACGTACACTGGGAACTGCAGTGGCCAGCTCTCTCAGCACACTCACCCTCGCAGTGGCCTCTGCGGGTCATGCGGTACCCGCTGTCGCAGTACTCGCAGCGGAAGGCCCCCATGGTGTTGACGCAGTACCCTTCCCCGCAGACATCTGGCCGCAGGCACTCATCAACATCTACATGGGGCAGAAAACACGCTCATGTTAGACTTAGCAAGACAGCATGTCACACCTCTCCCAGCGCCCAGGTCTAATTTAGGAACAAAGTAAAGAATTTCTACTACGGTGTCTTTGATTTGTCCCAAATGCTTCGAAATGCAGAGGTTTTGATTCTTGCAGGCTCCCAAAGTAGTATTTTAAATGCATCTTATGCATTGTACCTGTGTAATCCATTTGACACTCTCTATTCAAAAGTGCTATGTGGGGGACGAGGGGGGAATGAAAGTTTCTATTTCCCAGTATCTGTGATATAAGATACTGCTTAATATGGCAAGAAACAGCTCTGTCAAGAAGACAAACAAATTGCCCAAACCAGTGGTCCCCAAGTTGATGCTGACTCGTGTGTCAGAGTCGAGCTGTGCTCTACAGGGTGTCCAGCGGCTGCTCTTCAGGGGGAAGTGTGCTCCCACAGAAGAGCAAGTGGGAGGACGGGGCTGGGCACTGTTCCTTTCTGTTGTTCATAGGCCACGATTCAGAACTGACGAGAAGGCACCTCACAGCATCAGCAGGTCTGTCTTCTGAAGCAGCTGAGGCCAACCTGGTGGTTAGTTTCTGAGGGTTTAACCCTGTGCACTGCACCCCTCAAGGATTTCATGCTACCGAGGGGCTTCATGAAAGTTTCTGGGTTGTCTACTTAATCACTGACGGATGGGGCCTTGAGGGATCTAAGATCCCTGATCTGGAGAGTTTACGGATACGGGAAACACTGCTAGTACCTATGCAGTCCGTGCCCTCCTCGTTGGCCATGAATCCTGCCGGGCAAATACACAAGAAACTGCCCTCAGTGTTTTCACAGCGCCCGTGGGAGCAGAGGCGCTGGACTTGAGTGCATTCATCGAGATCTGCCAACAAAAATACATGTCAATGGATCAGTGTACATGCGTCTGATACGACTGATGCAGGGATTGTACCAAGGGTTATAAGAGCCCCAATAAAATGATCTAAATAATAATAATAATAATAAATGGTTAGTGTATTGCTGCAGGAAATTCTCCCCCTCTGTTCTGTAAAATACATCCGATGCCCTGTGCACCCCACACCTTGAAAACGGATGGAAAACAGTCAAAGGAGACGTGGTCATGATCCTCAAGCAGGGAAAGACTGTTGCTGGGATTTACTGGGCATTTCTTCCCAAAAATCTACAAACTCAAACCCAAGCTCTGGTGCTATACAGGGATTTCAGAGCATCTTAGGATCTGCAAGACAACTGGAGTCACCAGAGCTCTGAAATGTGCCACCCAATTCCCAGGTGTGGCCAGGCACCAGCAGAAAAGCTATGAAAGAAACCCAAGCACACGGACAAGTTAGAGGCGATCACCCCTGCCCCTCTATGTTAGGGTCCTAAGCGCACAGTACACGTGCTATGTACAAATGAATGGGAAATCGGCATGTGAAGGAGCAAGTGGGTGCCCCCACCCCAACAGACACACAAACCAACAGGTGACTCTTAAGTCGTGATGCTTGCATATGAACGCGCTAAGTGCCTTTGCTGTTTTGTAGTCTCCTTTTAACTCTTACAGCTACCTTGTAGTTCTCTAGTCCAGGGGTTCTCAACCTGGGGGTCACGACCCCTTTGGGGGGTCAAACAACCCTTTCACAGGGGTCGCCCGATTCATCACAATACCAAAATTACAATTATGAAGTAGCAACAAATATAATTTTATGGTTGGGGGTCACCACAACATGAGGAACTGTATGAAAGGGCCGTGGCACTAGGAAGGCTGAGAACCACTGTTCTAGAAGAAGAGAGTAATTAAATTTAGAATTAACACACATTCAAAATGAAGTACTCAACACTCTCATACTCCTTTATTGTTATTCATTTTTTCTTACAAAACTAGAATATATATATATATATATATATATACACACACACATACTCAGCAATAGCTTCATGTTAAGTATATATTGAAGACTTTTTCTTCTAACAGGGATTTCAAGAGAAATCTGTTAGATGTCAGATCCAATATACATAAATGACTACAACACATTATTGCAACATTTATTAATGTTAACTTGTTCTTGCTAAATGTGTGTGGGTAGCTATTTCTAGAGTTCTTAATGCTTTTACTTGCTTACCTGAAAAAATTTTGGAAATTATTTTACTTGGTGCAACTGAACCAAGAAGCTGTAGCACCCAGGAGGTCGGCAAACGTTGAGTTTCATTAGTTCGGGTCTAAACATTCTGATGCAGTGCCCCTGCCCAAGATCGGTAAACAGGCACGCACAGGAAAACTGTTCTCAATGTACAACCCATTTCTATTTCATACGTGTTTGGTTTTGTTTTTATAAAAGACATCTGTGTCTCTTACCAACACATTTCCTCTGTTGCTCACTGAACTTGTAACCTTCGTAACATATGCACGTGTACCTCACGGGCAGGTTAATGCAGTGTCCTGCTCCGCAGATGTCAGGGTTCACAGTACATTCATTGATTTCTTCAAAAAGATGTGACATGGAAAGAAAAACAACAAAGAAAGAGACATAATGACTTCACTGCTACTTGCAAACCATTACTGTGTTTCTTGGGTACGTAGCAAATTATTTCCAGGTGTACAATTAGATGGCAAAGGGTGACCTGTGAAGTCTGATCAGCAGTGCTACCCAATGCCGTCGATACTTCCAGCGAAACAACTTCTGAGATGAACCGGAATGACAGAAACTCAGAAAGAACTCGTGGTGGATGTTGTTAGATCAACTCTTCATCAAACAACTTCCAGGGTGGCCTTTCAAAGCACTTCTACCCACTCAAATCTATCGTAGGTGATAGTGTTTGAATTACTGTGTCACTTCTCCTGACAAGGAATGCACAGCAACCTACTTGTTAGCAAATTCCAATTGCAATGGCTATCTCCTAACTCTTCCAAGAGTTCTCTCTCATTAGCCCCCCAGTAAAGACCTCCCACTTCTAATCCAAACAAAACATCCAGGAACACCTCACACTTTATTGATAGTGATAAGGTAGGGTGCCTCTTGCAAATATTCAGTGCCAAATTCCTCCCCAACTCCTACAGATCCTTGCTGAAAACTCCCTTCTGCTGGAAAGTCTGCTCAGGTTAACCCTGTCTGAGGGCTCGCACCACTCACACACACACCTTGGGATGAAGGCAGGACCAAAGGAGTTCCTGGAGAAGGGAACCCATCAAACAAGCTCCATTGCCAGAGACTCAAGGAGCACAGAATTCATGAGGAGGTACCAGCAGCTTCTGAAATGAGTTACTACCATAGGACATTCTGTTTCAGACTCCACGCGGAAGGAGGTACATTGTCCTCGTGGACGCAGTGACACTAGTAGAACTACAGGCTTAGAGATCAATCCTCCTGCTGCCCCTTACTAGTTCTGTAGCGTGGAACAAGTTCCTTCACCATTCTCAGCCTCACCTTTCCACATGCATAAAATGAGGATAATTAGAGTACCAACTGCAGTGTGGGAGCTTCAAAGACATCCAAGTAATGTCTTTCGCCCATTGTTAGCACAGGCATATGTTCCAAGTTGGGCACTGCAATTTTTGTTGTTCGTGTTGAATTCATTTACAAATAAACACCTATAATTATAAATAAGGCTATTTATAAATGTACAGCCTTGAGCTCATTGGCTTCACGGTGCTTAAGAGAGATGCCGGCAGGGAAGAGTCCAAGGAAAACCCCAGTGCTGAGTCTGTGAGCAGGCAGGCTGAGAAAGAAAGAACACAGTCGTGCTCGAGAGTCCGGGGTTCCAAACCAGGGGTGCGATTTTTGTCCATAATGACCCAAGTAGGCGTTCTGTGAGGTGGAGTCAAGCCAATGGCAGTGAGTTCGGTATAGTCTTGGGCCATGAGATGAAATAAAATGGCCATTTCTTGTAACCCAGTATTTTCAAGAAGAACAGTAAGGTCAAAATGATATTCACATTGCATATTTGAGGATTTCCAGTTGATTACCACCAAGGTTGAGCATATATAGATACAGACTGAAAATGTTGATCTTGGCCAGAAGAGCACTAAGGCTATGCTAAAATAAATAAATACATAAAGTTACACTGACACCACTGAAGGGTGCACCAGGATTACCGATGTCCACCCTGGATGGGCAACTCCTGTTGGACCTTTAATGTTAGGCTAATGTTCCCTAACAGTGCTGTCAATCAGCCTTGGGCTGCTACCTGCAAGCCTGCTGGTCCGAACCCACTAGCTGATCCACGAGGGAAAAGGAGGCTGTCTGCTTTCATAAAGACTTTCAGCCCCTGCCTAGGAAACCCTATACAGCTGCGGTTCTCAACCTGTGGGTCGTGACCCCTTTAGGGGTCAAACGACCCTTTCACAGGGGTCGCCAGATTCATAACAGTAGCAAAATGACAGTGATGAAGTAGCAACAAAAATAGTTTTATGATTGGGGGGGGGTCACCACAACACGAGGAAGTGTATTAAAGGTTTGCAGCATTAGGAAAGTTGAGAATCACTGCTATACAGTGTAATTATATGTCAGGAAGAGCCTTGGTGGTGTAGTGAATAATGCACTGGGCTGCTAACCCTGAGGTCAGAGTTCAAAGCCATCAGTCACCCTGAGGGAGACAGACTAGGCTTTCTACTCCTGTAAAGATTTATAGTCTCAGAATCTCACAGGGTCAGTTATACTCTTTTTACTTTGCTATGAGCAGGAATCTACTAGATGGCAGTGAGTGAGGGAGTGAGTGAGTGAGTGAGTATGAGTATGTGAGTGAGTGTGTGAGTGTGTGAGTGTGTGCGTGTGAGAGTGTGAGTGTGAGTAAATGTGTGAGTATGTGAGTGTGTGAGTGAGTGTGTGTGAGTGAGTTTGAGTATGTGAGTGAGTTTGAGTATGTGAGTGTGTGAATGTGTGAGTATGTGAGTGTGTGAGTGTGTGTGAGTGAGTTTGAGTATGTGAGTGTGAGTGTGTGAATGTGTGTAAATGTGTGAGTATGTGAGTGTGTGAGTGAGTTTGTGTGTGTGAGTGAGTGTGTATGAGAGTGTATGAGAGTGAGTGTGGGAGTGTGGGAGTGAGTGCGGGAGTGTGTGTGTGAGTGAGTGAGTGAGTGAGTGGGTGGGTGGGTGAGTGAGTGAGTGAGTGAGTGAGTGGGTGAGTGGGTGAGTGAGTGAGTGTGAGTGGATGTGTGAGTATGTGAGTGAGTGTATGAGTGTGTGTGTGAGTATGTGAGTGTGAGAGTGTGTGTGAGTATATGTGTGAGTATGTGAGTGTGTGTGAGTTTGAGTGAGTGTGAGAGTGTAAGTGTGTGAATGTGTGTAAATGTGTGAGTATGTGAGTGAGTGTGTGTGTGTGTGTGAGTGTATGAATGAGTGTGAGAGTGAGTGTGTGAGTGAGTGAGTGAGTGAGTGAGTGGGTGGGTAAGTGAGTGAGTGAGTGGGCAGGAACAACTTGATGGCACTGGGTCTATACCCCCAGCAAGCTCTTCTTCACAATCACACGCAACTGCTGCACGTGCAGCTTTTAAATCACTGAAAGAGCTCCAGGCCCTTACTTGCACCAAAACAAACAAAATGGAACTCAGTCATTGAAGCCCACTCATCGAGACCCCACACAGGTGTCCGGAGGCTGCAGACATTTGCCGGAGCAGAATGGTCTCGTCTTTCTCCAGCTGAGCACCTAGTGGCTCTGCATCACCGATCTGTGGTTAGCAGGCCAATGGTTACCCAACAGCCCCATCAGGGCACCTATTTCGCCCTAACGTAAGGCTAATAAGGGCTTAGTCTGACTGACCTACAAATTCTTAGAGACTTATTTAGGACCTGGTCTACTTCATAAATCTAGAACTACCTGTACATCAAAAGCAGGAGGGGCATTTTCTAAAATGCACTAGACTTCTGTGCTGTCCTCTTTTCCACGTGAGTGATTCACTAGTACAAGTTTCATCCTGGGTAATAGGAGAGGTACCTTCTATCCATTTGGTCAGGCCATAGGATCCTGTGCTTTTGGACAGACAGAAAACGGGCACATGACCTTCCTAACACCTCTTTCTAGTCACAAGTTAGCAAAGTTAACGAACAGCAGTCAGTTGCTATTTAAAGGGAAACATGTAATAGAAACTTCCTCCCACATGGCTCCATCCGTGTGCAAACCTGCATTCCCCTGTGCAGACTGTGTAGCAGGCTCTGATACCCCACACTGCGGCAAAGCCTCACAGGAAAAGCGCTAGCTGCCCAGGCCCTCAGAAGAAGGCCGATGGGACAAGGGGTATGTACCGGGCAGCTGGCAGAGAGGGTGGTGGGTGAAAGGCATCCAGCCGCCCTGGAGGAGAAATGCTTTGAGACCTATGCCCATAAAGAAAACCCTAGGAACAGATCTACTGTGTCATGAAATTGCTCTGAGTCAAAAATCAACTTCACACCAACAACACTGGTCTCAGAGCAGTGAATGGTCCCATCTTGATTCTCCTGGGCACCGTGGCTCCTCACAAAGGGCATCGAGCCAATGTCCTCTTCTGAACTCCGCCAGGTCCCGGTTCTCAGGACTGGGCTCCTCTCTCGGACTATGGGTGTCCCTGAAACAGCCTCCTCGTCACGTCGTCAAATACCGTGTTCTATTCGTCTCACTAGAGTGCATTTAGAATTCAGAGAAAGAACCACGATCAAAAATCACTGGACTCTCAAAAAAAAAAAAAAACAGTGAGAGTTCAGTGTGTTTAAAAAAAATTAACAAAGAAGAAAACTTTTGGGGGCAATATATGCAAATGGCAATGCCGACCTGTAGCGTTTTTCTCATGATGTGATTACTCAAAATAAATAAATTGAGACTGGAAATTTAAGGCACGGTGATTGTACATGGCCAAAGGATGAAAAAAAAAAGCCCATTTTCCATCAGCATGCATAGTTTATTGAGGCTGTAATGACACTGGTAATATGCTTCAGGGACAAACATTTTTAAAAGTCTGAATTCTGGAAAAAATGTGATGAGTAAATAGTTTTTAAAATGCTCTGGCCATCATAATTACAAAGCAGTCATGAAAGTCAAATAATAACTTCTGGCCAACCTGCAAGGGCCATGGGGAAAGTTCGGGATGAACCAGAGGAAGGCATCAAATGCTAATTCATGGAAAGGCTTACAAAAATACCCTGGCTTCCTAACTGCCTCACAATGAGTATAAATGGTCCCACAACAATCGAAACAGATGTTTCCACTTTGTAAATATTTGCCAGAGAAATAAAGGTCTGATTTTCCAACCCAACCTTGAGCTATTAAGACACTATGCTAAATCAAGAATTTATATGCTGAAATGTATAATTTATTTGGAAACAGAATGCCAATGATGTTGCAAGCCACTAAGTCAGCTATGAAGAGTGGAAAATATCACTTATTTCCTGTAAGTATGTGGCTCATTGTATAATTACATGTCAAAGTGTGTTTGGCTGACTCTGAAAAGGGTACATCCTATCTCACCATCATAAAGATATCATCACAGAACAATGTGAAGTTGATTACATTGCTTTCAAGCTCTTATTTATTATTCTATCTCTCTCTTTAACCTATGGAAGAAACCAGTAGGCAAATAATAGCGATCCTCTGTGTTTTTAGAAAGAAACCCTTGCGGCACATAGGTTAAGTGTTTGGCTGCTAACCGTAAGGTTGGTGGTTCAAACTCACCAGTCCCCTTAGGGGAGAACGATGTGTCAGGCTGCTTTCTAAAGATGACCTCCTTGGAAACCCTATGGGGAAGTTCTACTGTGTCCTACACAGGGTTGCTAGGAGTCAGAATTGACCTCACTGATAGGAGTTCTTTGCCGATTTTGTTGGTTTTTTTTGGGGGGTGGGGGTGTGTGTGTCAGTATTCTAGACAAAACCTATTGTGTAACAAATTAGTTCATTTGCTCCTAAACCTTCCTATTCAACACTCATATCAAACTAACAGGCACATCTATATTTTGAAACAAATTAAGCTCAATACAAAAGTCTTCTGATTCTAATGGAGATTATTGTTTAAAACTGTGTTTCTCAAAGTAGGTGAAACCCACCCCTGAGGGTGCTGGAATGAGACCGGAGCTGCAAAAACGGATACGTGCACTTGATCCTGGATTATGAGTTATAGTACAAAAGGTTTTAATTCCAGGGGTGCTGATTTTATTTCCTGAAAAGGAGGGGAGGTAGGTCAAATAGGTTTGGGAACCTATGGCTTAAAGTATAGAACATAGCTCTAAAGTTGCAAAAGCTATTTGGATTCATCAACACTTTATGTATGATGTCCTCCTTGTGGATGATTTCTGAACAAGTTCTTTATTGTAGTAGGAAGTCGAAGGACCTACAACTGCCAAACGGAAGAAGCAAAGGGAATCGGTGTCACTGCAATTTCCTGGAAGGAAAGATTCATGCTTCAAACATATGATAAAAGACGTTAGCTCTGTTTTTCTACCACACTTAAATTAAGCTTTCTTCCAACACCTCGTATAGCAAGTTGGCTTCATTTCTAAAACTCTGCTCTGCTGAAGCTAAGTAACTTCCATTTATTATCCTCATCGAGCTGCATGTAGAATTTTAAAATTGTTATCTAGCCAAACTTCTTATCCTCTACAAAGGTAGTTTGCATGTGGTTTGTCCACTGAAGTCAATAATGTACACTGAGAAAAATGCACAAAGCTAAAGTCTATCTTTAAATTAGGAAATGGAAATGCACTATTGAGAAAGAATTGGAGAATTGCACCGTTTTTTTCCTGGCACACTGCAAGTTTTGTGATTTTGGTTTTTTTTTAAACAGTCAGCTAAAGAATTGGAAGAGCCTTCCTGGCCAACTGGTACAGTATGTGTTTGTGTGCCTCACAGTGCACAGCAGGATGCCTGACTGTTACTTGATAACGCGGGGCACATACTCATAGTCTTCTAGAGAGAGCATTACTAGTCATGACCGTTTGAAAAATCACTGTCACTTCATTTCATCACCCTAGAAATGCACGGCGCAGCTAGCACTGTAGCATTGCTCTCCTCCGCAGTGGCCCTGAGTGTACAAACTATCAAGCCGACTGAAAGGATGGACGTTTGCGTCAGCATAGAGGCATCTCCGAAGAGGACCTGCTGACTCACTATTCCAAAGTCAGCCTCATCAAGCCCTATGCAGGACCCTTGGACTCCGACATCTGGAGTCCACACAACTGGCTTCCGTTCCCTCACTTCAATCTGCTGAGTAATCACAGCCGTCTATTTGGAAGAACTGGTTCCAAAATATACCAAAGATGATGTCCATCGTGTCTCGATCCAACTAGCTCATGGAACTTGTAGCCACGGTTTTTGAGAAAAGTGGCTTAAAAGCCCTGCAATTTCTCTTTGAAGTGAGACAATGCTGGTTTCTGAAGAAGACGCAGTCTAAGGGAAGGTAGAACTTCTCTACGGGCGTTTCCTGTCATAGTCTGCTAATTTAACTTCATGATCCTAAAATAAGGTGACCAGACGTCCCGCTTTTGGTGGGACAGTCCTGATTTTTAACAATTTTTCCCGTGTCCCGCGGCATTTTAAAAGAGTCCCGATTTTTGGAAAGAATGCACGACAAGCTAGGGTATACGGTTTTCGGCTGCCATGGGGCTATTTCGCCAGGATATGAGTTTTATCAATGGTGTCCTGCTTTACCAATGTTAAAATCTGGTCACCTTATCCTACAAGGGCATTGTAAGCTCAATTAAGATATTCATTTTAGCAGATTTTTTCCCTGAAACTAATGATACTATATGTTCCATTTCAAATATGTTTTAAAACAGAGAAAACTCCTCAAATAAAACCGAACAATGCCCAAGTCTCATTACAAAAAACAATCATTGCTAATATCTGGTATATTTTCTTCTACTCTTTTCTTAATGTATTACATACTGTATCATTAGTATAATACTCAACATCCTTCATTTTGGATGCTGCATTCTCTAGTTAACACAATGACCATTTCCTGCTAGACTTTGTAATAAAAAATCTTAGAGCATAGTTTGATGGCAGCAGTGTAACATTCCAGCACACGTAGCTGAGCAACATCATGATCAAACACCTGACAGCTGACATGTAAGCTATTTCTATCTTTTCTTCACTAGCAACAGCCCTAATATCCATTTACATGAACTACTGTCATAATCTCTGGAGACTAGGTATCTGAATATAGAATTTTTGCCTCAACTATTCCAAATATTTTTAAGGGTTAATTTTCTGAGTTTCTGTCCTCCAGAAAAACTGGAGGACCAGGGTACATTGCCATCAGCGATGTGTCAACGTCTTGATTTCACCAAAATAATTCTTTTTTTTTTCTTTCACCAAAATAGCTCTTATTGAAAACTGATAAAGGTGCTTTTTTTAAATGGGTGATTTTAAATTCCATTTAAAAATTAAGAGTGAGGTCATTATTTTTCTATCATATTCCTTTGTTTTTAAATAGTCTGTTTACATTTTATCCATTTTTCTAGAAGGGTTTTTCTTATTAATTTAAAAGAGTTCATTATACAGGAAGGATATTACTATTTATTAGGTTGCATTTATTTCACGACATGGTATATTGTATAATCTTTCATGGTTAAGACCATATATGATTATTGCAACATATTTTGAAAGCAGGCAAAAATATATTGATAAGGAGTAGACACAGTTCTATCATCAGGTTGTAAAGAACACTTGGGCACATTTTCCTTCACTTTACTTTTCTGTGATTATAGACATTTAAGAATAAACCTGGAGCCAATATTGTATCCTAGAGTTTAAAAAATATTGTCATAAGAATTCTCTTGTAGTGTTAAATACTCTTAAAATATCATTGTAATATCCATGACATTCCATTGCATAATTATAGCAAAATCTACTTAAACCTAATCATCTTCTTTCACGATATATATATTATCTCCAAATCTTTGCTATTGAAACCAACCCCACCGTGAGCAATCTTATACATTGGATAGAGTCGTGGTGTAATTTTCAGTAAGCCTCATCCCCTGACTTCTCCATATAATACACCGCAGGAAAAGTACTGGGCCTACCGGTTACTTGAGTAGGTGCAATGACTTGGCTGGCACTTGAAGTAGACGCTTCAGGAGCTATTTCTACAGGTACAGGTGGTGACGTTTTTTCAATCACTGCTATATGAAGAAAAAGAAAATTAAAGCCTTAAAAATAGGAACACTGGGATCCTAATTGACTATACTAATAAGCCACAGCAGTTCTTGTTATAAAGACCTGTCAGAGGTTCCTAAAGGCCAAGCTATTCATCTACAGCCCTGGTCTCAACATTTAGCAAGAATACTTGAGAGAGGTTCAAATGCCAAGAAAAATTATCCTGCATTAAATGGTGAACCTCGGTAATGTTTTCATAATATATAAAATTCCTAACTACAGAGAACGGAGAAAAACCTGTCTTTCTTCATCCTATTTTAGTAGATGTAACATCATATGCCATGAGCTGCAAGGGACTCAGTGGGGCCTAACAACAGCCAGATACTTGTAAGACCTAGAATCCCCGGATTACATTGACCCCACATTGTCAACAGAGCAATCAACTGATTCAAATATATTTTTCACATTTAACTTCAACTACGATTCTGATGACAAACATTAAAATCAAAGACACACAGGACATCCATGATCTTGCTCTTTTACTACTCTTATAAACAGCATAGGTAACACGGCTACCTGGAAACTGTGGGTGCAGGTTGATAGTTGAGACTCCTGGAGAGAGCTGAGGTTGACCAGGCTCAAGTTTGGTCCTCTCTTGACTCAGTGAGGGTATTTCCTGAATGGTAATATTAAATATATACATATGTAAAAAGAATGATGATAAGGGAAGCAGAGAGGAATGAAGACAGAGGAACAAAGGAAAAATATTAATTCATACTTTTATTTCCCACACATTACTATTTTTACTTCATTCATCATACTCTTAGAAAGGCAAAGAATTATCACATGACATTAGACAAAAACCTGGGTGATGATGTCAAATTAAAAAAAACCCCCAAAAACAATTTGCTGCACCTCAACTATAGTCCACTCTTGAGTTTCCCAGCTGGGGTGAGCCTTGGTCAAACACACCCATTTCCCAGAGGCCCAAAGAGAGATGCTTTTAAAGCAATAGCCAGTCCCAGTCCCCATCATTCAGACTTAAAGTCATTTGTTGGCTTTCATTCCTCAATCCAAGTTCTTCCCATTTGCACAATTCCTTACACCCGTTCCTCTTATTTCATATCTACAGCCTCCACGACTCCTTACTTCATTATCAGTTCATCTTAATCTAATTGGTCCATTGGGCTTCCTGTTTCTCCTACCTCTGCTGATCCTGCTGGAAATCATCTTCCAGAAATAATCGATCAGTTATTACTTGCTTTCACATTTTCCTTGTTTAAAAAAAAAAAACGACAGACTAGCTACAATATCAAAACCCAAAGGGCAAGTTCAGTGCCATGGAGTCAATGCTGCTACTTAATGACCTGACGGGACAGGGAAGGACTGCCCCGTGAGTTCCCGAGTCTGGTAACTGTTAATGGGAGTAGAACGCCTCATCTTTCTCTCAGTTACAGAATACAGTCCTGGTTATAGCACATTCCCTGTAGTCCAGGACCGATGCCAATAAAAAGAAGACCATGATCAGAGGTTTACTGGCTCCTGTAGCTCAGACAGAATGCCCCAAGGGACCAGGGAGGCAGGCTCCCGAGTCAACAATCAGCCCTCCTCTACCTGACAGGTAGAGTTCAGTTGAGAAGCAGTTCATTCTGAGTCTTCCAAAGCAGCTCCTCACAAGTCCTCTTCCTAACCAGGTTTCTCACGGCTCCCCAGACTGACTCCCTCCACTATCCACTATCCACATGTCACTCCCCACCCCGCCATCCTCCTTTCTCTTTCTCTTGCTTCGACTTTACAGCATGAGGCCTTGGCAAGGTGCCATTACCACAGCAATTGCTGTTTCTCCATTCATTCTTCCCAAAATAAACCATGGTAATAGCATAAAAGAAAATGTTAGGGGATCCTTAATGAGTTACCATAAACCTAATTATAAACGGAGAAGAAAACTAAGTCAAGAGGAGGCTGTCCGGCGGATGCTAGACCAGCCATGTGCTAAATGATTCCTCCATGCATAAGTAGAACTCAACTCAAAGTTTACAAAATGTCGAACTGCTGCATGTTACCGACCTTCAGAGTTGCTACCCAAGAGCTGCAAATGCTCATGTAAAAACTGCAAATCTGTCTGTTTCTTGGGACCAGTATAAATCAATGCCCCCCCCCCATGAGCACGATCACTCCAAAATCATAATTTCCTTTTTCCCAATTATTTCAGCACTTGTGACACAATAGATATGTTACTATCTCCTATCTCTGGGAGCCTTGAAGGCATAATGGGTTCCATGCTGGGCTGTTCAGGAGAGAGGTAAGGCTGTCTGCTCCTATGAACAGGGACACCAGAGGGTGAAGTTCTAGGCTGCCATACAGGGTCGCGAAGAGTCAGGATCAACTCAATGGCACGGAGTTTGGTTTTTAGGTTGGCGTCGTCATTAAGTTCTGGCTGCTAACTCAGAGGTGGACAGTTTAAACCCACCCATGACTCTGAGGAGGAAATACGTGGTAGTCGCTCCCCGAAGTAGTACACATTGGGAAACCCTATGGCGTACTTCTACTCAGTCCTGGAGGGTCACTATGAGTCAGAGTGTACTAGATGGCAATGGGTTTGGTGTGATATCCTATATATATAATCTAAGATTTTAAATACCATTTATAATAACTTATAATATGGGAGGGCAGTTCAAAAGGTTCATGGAATGATAGAATTAAAAGATAATGAAGTTTTCCCGCAAAATTTTTAAAGCCCTCTTATATGTATGTGGGGGCTAAATTCTAACGCTTAAAGTCTTTGTCAACTGAATGATACATGAATAAAGAAACAATAAAATTAACTACCACAATAAAATTCACTCCGCATATACTCGAGTATAAGCCGACCCAAATATCAGTCGAGGCACCTAATTGCATTAAACTGCATTAAAAATGTGCTGAAAAACTCGGCTTATACACGAGTATATACATACCTAATTCCACGCTATCATTAAATGAAAACAGTTGGTTTAAATGCATTTACCAAATACAGTCTGAAAAGCAGCCGTTTTGCATAAATAGGACTTAAATCCAGCAAATGTATATTGAGTACTTCATGCTAATAAATTCCAATTTATAGTGCCATTCTATGCAAATAAAACCCTACAAATACAATATATTCATAAAAATTTCTCTGACCATTTTTCAGAAGCAGAAATTTAGTATTTGTAACTTGATTGATTCATAAGGATAAACTCTGTTATTTATCCTAATTCAATTCAAACATGTATGGCAAATTTTATCTGAATTCATAAGTGCTTCACCTATTTATAAGGAGCCCCAGTAGCAAAGTGGACTAAGTGAGAGGCTACTAACGACAAAGTAAAGGTTCAAACCTAACCAGCTGCTCCCTGAAGAAAACCGAGGCTTTCTACTCCCATTGAAGACGTACAACTCTCCGAAGCCAGTGGAGGCAGTCTATCTACCCTATGGGGCTACTTTGTGTCAGAATTGAGTCAGGCGGCAGTGCTTCTGGTTGCTATTTTTGTTTCACTCATTATATACTGACCCTGAGACTATGTGATGATATGAACATTATCAGATTTTTCTGTTTCTAGGTAATTCCTACAGGTTTCCAACACTGTTTTCTCATTAGAACTTCAGCTTAAAAAAGATTTTTGTCTTATTTGGCCTCTACTGTTTTCCTACCAATAAGCATAGTGCCAATTATACAGCAAGAATTCCATAAGTATTTCTTCAATGAATAAATGCTACCTTTTCTTTAACCATAGAAAACACATAACTGTATTTAAGCCTAAAAAATCCACACATAACTAACAGAAAACCATTGTGAAGGTGGAAAAGAGGATTTATCATGAAGAGTGGATTACCTTCTCAGAGGGCGCTGTTGCCACTAAAATCAGAAAAGAAAGCAGACCATTAGTAAAATGTAAGAGGATTCACTTATCATATTTCAACTTTAAAAAGCAATCAAAGCGAATTATGTCCATTTCCCATTTGGGAGGGATGTTACAGGGTAAATTTATCATTGAGATATCATAACTCAGCTAGAGAGGTTCAAGTGGTACAACAAGAGAATGAAGTTCTTTCAAACCTTATCAATTAAAAAATCTAGGTAATTTATTAAAAATGAAAGAAGTTAACACTTTCTTGGTACATTATTTTATGCTTAAATTTGATGCTGTATACAACTTCCCTTAGCCTAGAAAACACATATAATAATCAAATACTTATTTTTAACATAGTTTATAATGTTTGGAATGTTTTCATAAATGCATTAATCTTAAAAATGAAAGCTACTTTTTTAACAATAGTTGGCTACATTCTCAACAATTAATACATTTTTATGAGCATTACAGAAAGCTATACCCACTAAATCATGAAGAAAAATATCCCGCAAATCCATCAGAGCCTCTGAGAGATCATAAATATGTGGAACAAACTACATATTTCACAATCATAGGAGGGAGGGGCTTTCTCTGTATTTTGGAGGAATTATTCTTCCTTAACCAATCCTTAGCATCAGCCCTCAAACTTCAGTCCAATGTTCACGGGACATTTCACAAAAAGTTGGTGTCTCCATAAACATAAACATTGGTAACAGACAATAACTCATTAGAACGATAAGGATTTCAGATCAATGAAGTCACTGCTGCAATATTCTTGTAGGTGGAGAGAATCAACCCTTTTTCTCTCTGCCTCGCCCATGACCCAGAAAGGTCACACCCTCTGGAGCAGGATTTGGACCAGGGACGATTCCCTCCCCCCAGTGCAGATTATGAACACTATAAACATCTGGCTAGAGCATCCCAACGGGGCAGAAGACCAGATGGACCAACACCGTCAGAGCCAGGGGAGGTCCCACCTGCTGTGCCTGGCCGGGAGACGCTCAGGAAGCACAGGAGTGGGGTAAAATAGGCTCGAACACACAGTGCTGAGAGCCCAGAAAAACAGATCTGACAACCAAGGTGTCGTCCCTGGGTGGGATGCTAACTGAAGGAGGGGAGGTGTGAGCCCACCCAGAGGTGCCTCAAATGAAGGCCTGGAGATCTACTTCCCAAAAGACCAGCACCTGACAACCCTGGAGCTCAGTTTGACTCTGAAGCACCTGGGGTCTCTATAAGGCAGACTGAACTGCACAGCCCCTGGGTTTTGTTTTGACCATTGCCTTCTTTTACTGTCTGGGAAGCTCCACACCTGAGGACCCTGCCTGGTGACTTAAGAATCAATGATGAAAAGGCAAGCAGAGCTTTATTAGAGTAAATAAATACTCGGTAATAATCAAAGGTTTTCGTTCCTTCTCTCTGGGGGTGAGAAGGGGTGTGGTAACAGAGACAATGATCATAAACCAGTTTATATCAGGAAACCGGGATAGTGCAGATCCCTCTTTCTGAACCCCAGAATGATAGGCATCAAGTCTGCTGTATCCACATTCCCTGATTGCGATCAGACCTCAACCACCGATGGGGGAATAGGTGCTCTGGGGTCATAGGTAGCATGATGTGTGGCATCTGGCAAAGCCTATCCCCTTTCTGGGTGAACTCCGGGATCTTCGGATTCACTCTATCCTACCTTCCTTTCGTCCCCCTTCCATTAGCTCTGATCGGCCACTAGACCTTCTTACCATGGAAGCTCAGTTGATGTTTTTAACTTTTTAAGCCTTGTTAAAAATTATTTCTTTATACTCTCCAAGACACAAAATGAATGAGGGCTACTACCTGGAGGATTAAATCACTGTCCAAGACTAAACACCAGGAAAGCAAGGTCACAGGCAGGCATCGAGACAATATCCTGAGATGACCATGGACTATCATTACCTTTTAGATAAATACTGTTTTAGAACAGTGGTTCTCAATCGGGAGCATTCCCACACCTGGCCCTGAGATAGCGGCAACATTTGGAGACCTTTTGGATTATAACATCCTGGGGTGGGCTTTCCACTGGCACGCCCAAGCTATGAGAGCAGAGATGCAGCTCATGTCGTCCTACGATGCCCAGGAGACGGTCCTCCACAACAAAGTCTTGTCCAACCCCCTATAAGAGCCTACAAGGTCAAGCTTGAGAAACCCACTTCTAGAAAGGCACCGACAGAGCAAGCAAAGAACAGGCATCGAGAGCCAGAGTTCACGACCCCTTTCCCATCTCACCTGCTGGCTCCGCCACTCCTGGCCTGTGTTCCCGGGAGAAGGTCAGGGCCTCCACTGGCTCTTCCTTTGCTGGGAGAGGTGGAGGATGAGTACTTTTAGCAACAGGTTGAGTGGTCTGTGGCTTGACAAATACAGGTCCTTTACCTACATGGTGATGGATTGGTCTGCGTCTATGAACGCCAGAAACTGTATAACCCATTCCACCAGGACAGATTTCCTTAAAAGCAGCTAGATTTGGGATGGGAAAATATTCCTTTTAAAAATCTAAACATGCAAAGCTTATACAGAGGAAAATATCATGCTGAATATCTATTAATAAATCATCACTTACATAGTTACATTCAAACACTTCAAAACAGATGCAAATATGCTTACATAGCTGTTAAACTTTAGGATTTACAGCAAAAACAAAAACAATCCTTTCTTACTAAACATTTCTCATTTAATTTCTTACCCTAGCCACTTAAGAGGTATCATAGATATGTTTTTGTGTAACATGTAAATACATCAGCAACCAATTAGAAGATATTATAGTATATATTTCATCATATTAGGATAAGTCAAAGAGTATTGCTACAACATTTTAGAAACTCTTATTAAACAAAAATATCAAAATGTGAAGATACTATCCCTTGACACAGCTTCCATCTCTAGGTCTCTAGGTCTCTACACTTCTGACGGTGGTCTTTTCATCTCGCTAGCCCTTCTCCAAAGAATTCTATGCTTTTCAATTTATGCCATGCCAAAATAACACCCATGACCCTCAAGGGATTCAAATTAGACTCCTTTTCGTTGGTCTTTGAATTGTGGGAACAAAAAGAAGTCGGAAAGCACCAGGTCAGGGCTGTGGGCTGCATGTGGCAAGGTATCACAATGAAATTCTCCTGTGACAGTCCTCGCTACCGGTGATGGATAAATAATATCTCTGTGCAATGGTCGGAGAGTTTTCTCACCAGTGGAGTCTTTGATTTTCTTAAAACTTCTTCATAACCCCTCTGTCCTGTGCGGTGCAGGATCCCAACATTCAGATGCCGCATCTCCTGAGCGGACTCTCTACCTAGGACTTCACTGGCCCAGGAGATTATTGGAAACCACCATTCGGACTAGATGTTGCTCTCTGGATTATATTGGTGAAATCCATTTATTATATGACCCATAAAATCATCCTCGTTACCTTTAATCTTGCTTTAATTTCTACTAGTTTAACTGGAAAAGATCAGCTCATGCCACACTTTTGGAACCTTCACACCGAAAGCTTGCTGAGGTCAAGATGTTCCCTTACAAGAGAAAAGGCTGAACGAAGGGAGAGCGATCCCATCAGTGGTAATTTCATGCTCTCCATCCATCGAGGTCGAGGGTCTTGCCTCTCTGGGATTATCTCTTGATCCATCTAGAAATTGTTGTTCATTAGGGCAACATTCCCTTAATCAGGGATCTGGGAAGATGACCACTTAATGTTTGTTAAAATTCTTATATTAGCCCAGCTTAAAAAATAAATCCTTTCCCCTGGCACAAAAAGAATCTTTTCTTAAAAAAAAAAAAAAAGTAGTGTCTTGAGACTAAGACAAAGTGCAAGACCGAGAGAACGTGTCTGCAACTGCTCACTGATGACAGAGACATGCTTAAACACGCTTTGTTCGGAGTCAACCTGTGCACGTATGAATGGGAACCCCAAAGGCAATACTCTTCGACTTACCCTTGTATGTTACGCTATCTGTATGTTAGGAGGCCTTCTACTAGAAGAGATATTTTACATACTATATACATCGTATGCTATATGTATAATATCAACAACAACACATCAGGCTGTCTCCTTTTCCCCCAGCTTTGGGAGTCATTCATGAGGGATCGACAAGGAATTCGGTAACTTCTCCCTAAGCTAAGAAGATGAGCAAGAAAGCTAAGACGAGAGCATTAAAAAAGAAATAAATAAAACCAGTGCTCACGACTCGGGGAAATGAGGTGCCGAAAGAGTCATGATTTGTTTTGGTGGAAGAAGCCAAGGGGTTCAGCCAGAACAGTGTGATCCACTGACTTAGGGCTTTGGCTGAGGAAGGGGTGCACAGGGGCAGAGTTTTGAAGAGATGGTCTCAGAAGAGTGAGCAGGAATCAAAGAAAGGAAACAGCTAAAGAGGTAGTAGGTAGCAATCAAGAGAGAAAAACATGCCAAATGAGGATGCAGTTGTGTTCAAGGGACAGGAGGACTAGCGAGCACGAGGCTGACCACAAGCACCGTGCCAGCTGGTGTACTCACTGAGAGGGCCAGGAGCTAGTCTATGCCCTGGAATCATATCCATGCCAGAAATGGTGCTGCAGGACCCTAACTAATCCCCATTCATTAGCAAAGGAGAAAGACAAAGATGGGGCAGCGGCATGTGGCTGGGGAGAGGGGGAGAAAAACACCAATGAATCCCTTTGAGGGTGGTGTGGGGGGGGGGCAGTTAACCCAATATGGCCACCAGGCAGCATAGGGCCAACGTTTTATTTCCACTTCATATTGGAAAGCAGCCTGAGTCGTTTCTCATTTCCACTGAACAAGAGATCTCCTACTGAATGGCCTGGACCTAAAAATTACCTTTTAATAAAACTAAAACTCTAAAATCCTCCTTAAAACGTGCTGAAATATGGTTTTTCCAAAGATCACCTAGAATGGAACTTCATTCTTACATTTCATTAGAAAAGGCGATTCTGAATCGAGAGCGGATATCCCAGATGAAAATGTGTTCTTCTACCAAATATTGAAGTATTCCTGGGTTAAGTATTTAATTGCCTTAAAACTTCACATACACAAAATTTGGTGAAGCCTCAAATGTTGTCCTTGGTAGTATTTTCAAATTCAACTTTTCAATTTGGGGAGGAGTGCCGCCAAAGTATTCAGCTGTTGCCCAAAAGGCTGGCGGCTTGACACTCATCCGCAGCTCCTGGGAGAAAGATGGGCAGTGGGTCCCATCAAGATTTACAACCGCGGCAACACTACGGGACAGTTCTACTCCATCCGATAAGCGACGCTACGAGTCACAACTGGCTCAGCATTGGTGGCTTCCTTTTCATTCACCATCCTGATTTATTCTCGTGTACAGGGTTTTACAAGTCACGAGAGAAACGTGCCTATGAATCATGAATATCGTTTGTTTGATTTAGCGTTTACTTTTTAAGAACGCATCTATTGGATCCCACAAGAGGGTACTACGTGGGGCTTCCTGAAGTCGCTCAGTCTACCAATTTAACACCACCGTTGTATTTGACTGTACCTTGCGAGTTCTTTCTGATGCCAACCACCAACAAATGTAGACCATGACATTTACATCTAACCCCTGCCTGCTATGTTGCTGCAGGACACGAATGGTCACTCTGAGAGTCAATGCACTACCCAGGTAAGAAGAACCTGAGGGAATACATTAATTGACATGTTTAGGCCTACTCCCTCTGATGAGCTCATGCCCAGCATGTGCACGGTATGATGCGCTTTCTTGTCTTCTGCTCACCCCTGCCTGACCTGGCTAGAGAAGGGGGTGACTCAGTGGTGGTGGGAAGGCCCTTGGAGAGACAGATTTATCCACTCGGAGCATGAGGCAATAGGCAATTAGCCCCCAAAGTGAAGAAACAGAATCATCTTTTTTAATATCCATCTCCCCATGGACGTTTATCAAGGGCAGGCTCGACACTGAGTAGTGCACTGTCACAGGATAAACTCAATCACGACTACAAGGCTCTGGGATCCAACTGAACACACTTGAGCACAACGCTCACAAGCAACACAGGCAGCACAGGTGGCACAAATGAGCAAATGGGCCCAAGGACAGCCACCGCCACTGGGAAAGTCAAAGCCCGCAGAGCCTACCGTTCTCTCTACACTTGCAACCAGGAGGCCCAGAGGCCCAGCAACTGAGGTTCGTTGTGATGGCTGCTCTTAACATTCACTGGGAGTCTAACGCTACACAGACATGAGCAAATGTATTTGCCTGTGACTCTTTCTCAGGGGCTCGACCTTGCATGTTAGGATGTCCTTGAATGGGATGAGAACACGCTGTGCTATTAAAGCATCACTTTCACATCAGAAGGCAAAAAGTGCCCAGGTTGCCAATGTCCCCCAGAGAGCCTGTTTGTGTGTCTTACCTGTGCCTGGGAGGGGACATTTCTCACAGTGGGGGCCCCAGGCCTTGCCCACGCTACAACAGCAGAGCTGCTTGGTGAGGTGAACAGACAGAGGGTGCATACACTGCCTTCCGTTGCTGACCAGTCGGTAACAGGGCCCTTTCTCTTCAGAAATCACAGGGGGATCCGCTGAAGCAGAGAGACAAGGCCTGATGTCACACAAGAAACTGGCACAGATCCACTTTGCACGTAACAGTCAAACGAAATCTTGATTTCGAGTCTGGGCCAGAAGCTACCTTTTGGAATAAATCTGCCTAGACTTGGGGTCGCCTTTCTAAGTACAGCTATTTTTTCAGAGCAACCTGTCTCCTGACAGGGATAGTGCCCCCCACTGGTGGGTCCCTTCTTCCATTTTCGCAAACACTAAATTCAGTCTGGGTGCCTAACAGAAGAGAAATATTTTCAGGAAAAATAACCCCACCTACACAAATAAACGTAGTCACTGTTGATCAAAGTTACTTCCCTTGTTTGGTTTCTCTTGAGAAGCCCCAAGAGAGGGCGCTGCAGGATGGGAGCTGGTGGATAACCATCCTCTGCTATAAGATCAGGAGAGAACATGGTAGATGTGACAGGGGATGCTACACGCCAGTAGCTACTCTTCTCACTTTGAGGGCCATGAGGCCAGTGAGCGGTGAGTGAACGGGGGTGGAACTGGGCAGGAAGCAGCTTCTGACTTGCAGCGTCTCAGCATACAGGTCCCTCGTCTCCCCAGACAGCACTGGGAGCAGGGACCTATGATGTGCTTCGCCTCTCAGAGAGCACTGCAGAAGCCCCCGGGGTCACATTCATGAGACGTCTGAGCCCTGATCCTGATCCCTGTACTAGAGATCCAGGAGATTTACCAGGTAAGTTGTCATCAAGGGGATTCTGACTTAGGGTGATCCCACAAGGGTCAGAGTAGACCTGTGTTCCCCAGGGTTTTCAAGGGCAGATTGTTCAGAAGTAGATCACCAGGCCTTTCTTCCGAGGCACCTCTAGGTGAACACTAATCTCCGACCTTTTAGTTAGCAGCTGAGCATGTTAAGCAAACCATTGCACCACCCAGTGTCTCCAGAGAATATGTGAGTTCGTGAATATATGATTTAGACACTCCCACCAGCACACAGCCAAGTATGGTGATAGAAGGATGCACTGCCTTCACGAACGTCACTTCGTCATACAAACGTGGAAAGGCCAGACAGGCGCTCATCACTGCAGAATCAGGCCGAGTGAGACGTGCCCCCTCTGGGTCCCTTCTCCCACTCCAACCAAAGTCATCTGTTCTATCAATATCCAAATGAGGTTCTTCTCTTGCCCACCCCCCTACACTACCTTCCTACACTTTTGTTTGGTATTAATTTTCATTCCTCCCATAGGAGGGATGCCTCAGCTAGATGCTGGCAGATGCAAACTAGTTACCTTAAAATACTGGTGCACAGTGGAGAGAGCAAACACTTAGAACCTGACATGCCTGGGCTCCAATTATGGATCTGTCACCTGCCAGTAAAACAACCCAGGACACTCACATACCTTCCTGATCCTCAATTAGCAAAGGACAGGCTCAAGGACTCAGATTAAGGACAACGTATGCAAAACACATGCGAGTCAACACAAAGCACATGTTAATACCTGTTGCCTTGTGGAGTCGATTACGGATCATAGGAATCATAAGCATCCTGCAGCAGCTACTCTCATTGATGGTAAAACAGACGTACCCACACTCCCCAGGGCACCTGGACCCCGCCGGACCCCATTTCAACAATGCTGACGCGTCAGTGTTCAGTTGCTAACCAAAAAGCTAGAGGTTTTACATCACCCAGTGCCACCTCAGGCGGAAAAAAGGTCTGTCAATATATTCCCCAAAACTCAGCCACTGAAAACTCAGAAGACAGCGTCAATGCCAAGGCAACTCTTTCTTTAAAAAGGATGTTCAGAGACTGATCCCACAGGTGAATCAGGGACAGGGGTGGGGAACTGAAAGGAAGAGACCCGCATGAGTAGTGGGGTGGTAAGGGCAGCTCTGCCCAGAGCTCCCAGAAGAGTGCCATTATCCAGCAGTTGGAGGATTTACTCTTTCCCTCCCCGACCCACTGGCTTTCCAGAGTCTGTACAAGTCAGGCAAGATTCAAATAACATTTACGAGCCTTGTTGTTATCCTCAAAGGGTTCGGGAGTCCCTGACACATGTGCCTATGTCTGGATGTTGCGTAATCTTAAGAATACACACACAGTTTTCGCATAATCAGCTCACAAATGGGTTTGGCTCCAAATTGTCCTTTCCAAACTGATTGTTTGGAACGTACAACACATTATTTCCATAGAAACAATGTCAGATCAATCCACAAGAGTCTACTTTATACTTGGCGGGAATTGATTATAACACTAATCGTATTAGTGTTAGTTCTACGTCCCAGGAGCAAGGGCTATGCATAGCAAAGTGTTGTCTCAGGTCCTGGACATTGACAAACTGTCCCTTTGGCTCCCTTCCCACTTCGTTCCCCCTCCCTCCTTGTGTCCACCTCTCCAATCACTCTTATAGCCAGCATCCCCCTAATACTTACCCTGTTCCCCTCTCTGAGTCTAATTTGAAATCAGTTACTATGCCTGTTCCCCAAGTTAAATCAAAACTTCAAATCACCAATTCAGTGTCTTAAGGGATTACCACATGAATGTGAGAGTAGATTTTTAAGAAGCGGATCACTAATTTAAATGAATCTCTGGTTGTTGAAATCGGGCACGCAATTACCTGGAAAGGAAAGTAGATGTCTAGCAAGCTACATTTCCTAATTATCTTACCCTGAAAGGTTTCTATTTTCAACGTTTTTTATCCCTGCCCCCTCCCCATAATTTCCTACCCCAAATATTCTCCATAAATTCTGGAGCGTCCCAAAGCACATCAAATGGTGACTTTAGGAATTGGGAATAAGAGAGGAGCACTATTGGCTAACAGGGTCATCAATAAGGCCGTTGTCGTTCAGTCCTGGTTCAGTCTTCGGATCATGTTCTAACTGCACAGTTGGCTCCAAAGACTTAGTCTCGGAAACTCACGAGAGCAGTTCTACACTGCTCTATGGGGTCACCGCACATCAGTACTGACTGGATGGCAGTGAGATTTTTGGGCTTGTTTTTTAATTTTAATTTAATTTCATTTTAATTCTAAAATATAAGAATCCTGGGGGAAATGGGGAGCTAACAATGCGTACAAACATGAAGAAACTGTTCTAGAATTGACTGTGGTGATGGCTGCACAACTACTTTTAATGTGTTTAAATCATGGGATTGTATGATACAAGACTTGTACGTCAATAAAACTGTTCAATAAATAAAACAGAAGAATAACAACACAAAGCGAATGGCAATCTTGTAAAGATTAGATGCGATGCTCCAAAGTGCTTATCGCACTGTTTACCACGTACTAGGTGGACAACCCCAAATTACCATAGTTATTAGAATTGTTGCGTGTCTAAGAGAACAGTGTTACTAAGGACAAAAACAGCAGTCAAGAGTGAAAATCAGTTTCAGAGGGAAAGCAAGATGTATAAATTCACCCATTTTACTTTGTAAAATATGATTTAGAATTGTGCTTTCCTATACTTTAGGCACCAGGCACATACTGCTACTAAGATTGCATTGAAATTAAATAAATTTCATATCTCAGTCACATTAGACACATTTCAAATAGCTACCTGTGGACAGTGACTGTGATACTAGATCGCAGAGATACAGAATGTATAGGGTCACGATTACAGAAAGCTCCATGGGATACCATTTGGTTACTAAACTTTTCCTACAGAGTTTAGTAAGTACTATCTTTTTCTATAAAGATAGTAAATGATCTCTGCTAGCTATTCAATCCTGCCCTTAGAGCAAGAATGGAATTCTAGGCAATATGTCATCAATGGGTTTGCCTGTGCTCCAATAAAACTTTATTGATAAAAATGCATCGTGGATCAGATGTAGCCCACAGGTTGTAGACTGCTTTTTGTGACAGAGTGGAACCCTGCATTTGGGGGCATAATCCCAGTGCACAGCTCCGCTCTCAGTGACACATTTGTGTGATTTTGGAAGGCTACTTCGATTCCTAGGCTCAATCTTCCAATGTATGAAATAAGAATAAAACTCGTGTGAACAGACTGATGGAATTAAAAATAAAAGCACACATATAAAACTGGCTTAAAATGGATGTGCCCTACATCATGGGGCTCCCATACCCATGGCCCACGTTCCTACACATCTCTTCTAACCCTCTGTGTCCGTCAATTAGCTCCTAGTTCAGGGATCAAGAAACCATAAAAGACCAAAAGTTCTGGCTCAAAATTATTTTATCGGGGCCTTTTCTATGGGGCATATATGCACCCACCCTCACAGCTCCCAATCTGGAGCTCTTGAATTCCTAAGGAAAAGTAATCGCCCTGCCGAAAGCCAGAAAGGTCTTTCGACTCTGTGGAGGTGATTGTCATTTTTCTCAGATGGGACGGACCAGTCCTTTCCTCGTGACAGAGATAGAAGAAGACTTGCAAAATGGGGCTGCCGCACCCTAAGGCATAGACAGAAAAGCCAGAGGCCGGGAGTGCCAGCCTCTTTCCACCCCGTCCTTGCGGCGTGGGTGACTTGGCAAGGAGAGCAAGTGAAAATGGTTGCAACCTTTGGCTGGAGTCAAGGGATTCTGAGGGTGTTCGCCTCAGTGCATTGGAAAACGGCGAGCGCTTCCCGCTGGCTCCTCAGCCCTTGCCAAGTGTGTTTCTTGGAGTTCCCAGCGGCAGCCCCACCCTGGACGGCCCACTGGACGCCCCAAACGCAGGCTGCCTGGGAGCAGATGTTGCTTACATGCTCACGCGGCTTTCAGGCCGCCCAAGGATTTCTCTGACCAACGACAATTCGCTCAGTGTCTTGTATTTTGTGTGTGTGATCTTTGGACCTAAGCTGCTCACCCAAAGATCGGCAGTCCAAAACCATGTAAAGAGTTTCTACTCGTGCAAAGAGTTAGTCTCAGAAACTCACAGGGGCAATTCTGTCTTGTGATGTAGAGTCTCTCATGAGAGGACACCAAATGGATGGCAATGTCTTTGGTTTGAATAACCTTCTTTTGGGTATCCCTCGGGAGTCCTGGTGCAGGGCAAATCGTTAACATGCGCAGCTGCTAACTGAAGGGTGGCCAACAGAAGCATGGTGACACTCACTGAGAGCCTGTTGGAACACAGTTCTACTCTGGCACACAGGGGTCACCCTGAGTCAGCATCAACTCGATGGCAACTGGGTAATGGTTGTCCTTTTTCTACTTCTCCAGGGACTATCAAGTGTAGTACAAATCAGGTTGCTTGTCTTTCTTATTCCATTAACACTGCCTTCCCCCCTGATCCTACCCACCTATCTTCAGACTTCCCCAATCTGTCCTCCAAAGTATAGTTCTCCATCGGTCAGACTGGATTGGCACGAGTCCTAAAGGAACTCTACATATCTCTGGGATTTTACAAGTGGTTAAATCTAAAATAAATAAATCTGCCCACTCAACACTGGTTATGCGCCCAGGTTTGAACTTCTGACTTCAAACTGGAACATTTAACTAGCACCAAATGATAATGCTTATCATTTCAGCTTTTGTAGCTGAACCATAAAATTGATTTATTTACTTTTCAAATAAGAATGGGTGGTTGTTTAATAAGTTCAGCATTATCTGGGCAATGACAAGAAAAATAAATTGCTAAGGAAATGTGCAAATGTTTCAAAAATCTTATTGGCAGATTTCTACAATCTTATTAAAACCTGGATGTCTGCCCTTAACGCTAGACATTGGAGCTAGTCTAAGTTTAATAAAACATTGTATGACCAGCCTGCATGGTTTGTCCAATCTGTAACCTTCAAGGTAATTATTTTAACAAGATTATAAATCAAATTATTTACATGGGGAAAAATACTCCCAACAATTACGCAAATGCTTGATAATCTTTTACATTTCAATTACAAACCTATTAAAAATATGGACTCTGGTAACTCAAGTCAGCCAGAAACTATGCCAAATGGCTATTGTCAATAGGATGATTTTTGGCTTGACATTCCCAAATCCTGGCATCAATTTTCAAATGCACCTTGTATGTAAACATAAGAGCACTGTAATCAGGTATCTGCCAGTCTTATGATTAGAACTGTTTATAAAAAGGGCAAGGAAGAGAACTTACGTGCAAAGTTTCCTAATCTGCATTTGGCAGTTTTCAAAGAAAAACAGTAGTAATTAGTACCTGCTCCAAGAGATTCAACAAACTCACTTAAATTAACAAATGAGACTGTCAGTTTTATTTTACTATGTCTGTATTTCATCATCTCCTGGCCTATCACCTTATGCCACAGAGTTCAAGGACGATGCATCATTAAGAAGAAATGATCGTAGTAACCTCTTGGAGACATGACTCAATCACGCAGTAAAGGTAAGTAATGTGGGGACAAGATAAATGCAGTTTAACACAGACCAAAGCCACATTCCGAATACACAAGTAAGAGAGACCCTTAACAGGTCAGAAACTAAGACAGGATTATTTGTTAAATGATCTTCACCGATTCCCACCAAAAATATAAAGCTCTAATTATATAATATTAAAAATCTGCCAAGTATTTTTCTGACATTTATAGTCATGGGCTTATGTGACGGGAAATAAGGTAGCCTTACACACTACATGATCAAGAGCTTTATATCTAACATACATTCATCTCAAAAAGGCATGTGATTGATAGTATTTACACTAGATTTGTGTGTGTGTGTGTGTGTGTGTGTGTGTGTCTGTCTGCGTGGGTGGGTGGGGGTGGGGGGTATCTTTGGTGACACTTTATTTTCCAAACCAAAATTAACATATGTGGTTTGATAGAGGATTTACCCCCTCTACAAAGTATAATGATAATTTTTAAAAAGTTAGATGCAGCATTCGTAAGACAAAAGTTATAATTTATGGAGAATTTCAGAGGTTTTTTGAAGATCATAGGCTAGAATATTTTAAATTAGAACTGAATGAGCAAATGTGGGATCGAAGGCCTTGGTAACTATTTCCCAGGCTTTTCCAACTGAGAAAGCACAGTGAGACATCATTCAGTCACATTCCAGTGACTCAGAATTTGGAATAATTAAAGACAGCAGCCAGAGCAAAAGTTACCACTGCTTAAACAAGCCTTAAAACCCTCATGAAAAGCAGACCCAGTATCCTCTCCAAAGTGCTGCGAGGAGTTGATATGCTAGTTTTTGTGAAATCTTTTCTTTTCATTGAAGCATATTGCCTCAGTACACTTAATTTCTACCCAAGTTTTCACTGTCACATTTTTCTGATTATAATAAAGATGCCTTTTGGAGAAGTTTCCATAATATAGACAGACTTATTTTACAGTATCAGACTAGTCTCCTCACTCTTTTCACATCAGTTCATCAGGATCGTCTGCATCTTTCCTGTTTGGGGGATGAACCCCCAAAGGCTTCTGATCCAAGAGAGAAACAAAAAGCGAATATTACTTACGGATGCAACTTGAAAAAGTAGGATCCGGCCCAAAGCCCATTTTGCAGGTGCATCTGTAGCTGCCCATGGTATTCAAACACTCACCATTAGGGCACACACCTTGTAGCTGGCATTCATTAATATCTGCAAGAAAACCCAATTACGTTACAAGAAGGAGACACGTCTTGTTGAATACGTCCTGGCTATTAAGTGCACTCACTCTCTACAACGATATTTACCTCTTAGTTATAATAAAAGATGCTTGAAGGTGTATTGCAGGAGGCACAAATGACTAAAGCAGAACCAATAAACATTTATAGAATGTCTGTAATGTGCATAATAAATATTTGTCACATATTCCCTATGTGCCAGGTTCTGTTCCATGTGCTCGGGATTTACTAGCAACGAAACAGTGTTGATGTATGCTTGGGGGCAACAGAGATTCACTGGTAGCCTTCTCACCTTCCAGACAGCAGATCTATTACACAGGAAGCACCTGGCTGTCAGTGGAGGCTTGCATGTGGTTACAATGCTAAACACGTTTCAATGGAGCTTCCAGACTAAGATGGACTAGGAAGAAAGGCCTGGTGATTTGCTTCCAAAATATCCGCCCAGTTAGACCCTATGGATCACAAAGGTCTGATGTGCAGTCACCCAGGAGCGGAGGATCAAGGGGCAGTGTCCTGTTACCTTGTGCATGAAGTCCTCCGGCATCGGCCAGTTTGACATCAGATAACAACAACAACAGTATGTGCTAGGCATTTGGGAGCACACAGGCAAGGCCAACACACTCCTACTGGCCGGAAATATGTATGTATAGCTTAGCTATACATACAAATAGGTGAAACATCAAGGAAATGAAAAGCAGTTCAAGATACCACAGTTAAGGAAGTTAAATGACAAAATTATCCATGTAACAGTGAGAGTCACTGGAGGCAGTTAAGGTAAGGGGGGCGGGTTGCAGTGTTCAGAAACAAGTCAGACAAGGCACACACCTTGGGGCTGGCATCGGGGTGTTAAGCAGGAGGAGCTGGAAGTTTGGGGAGAAGCAGGATGGCCGGGAGGGGCAAGGGGAGGTTGGGGAGTAGCCAGGGAATTATCTATGTGGGGAGACACTGGATCATGACCACAGAAACTAGGGACAGGGAGGGCCTCATGACAGTGTGAGGCAAACTGCTGGAAGGTAAAAAGGTGGAACTGGAGCTGGACAGGTAGGAAGGTTGGTTAAACCAGGTTAGGTTTGGAATCAATTTTATTAAGAACATGGAGCTGTACTAAAGGTTCCTGAGCAAAAAGAAAAACCAAAAAAAAACCCAGATGCAATCAAAGGCAAGCTGCAGCAAAATCCATCTGGCCAGCACATGGTTTGGTGAGAAAGAGACGGAATTTGCTAGAAACAGTAATGTAGTATGAGATGGAACACAACCGGTTGGTGACAGCAAAGTTGTGGAAGAGTCAAGAAAAGTACTGGCCAGATACTTATTTTAAGAATACAATGGATAGTTTGTACATGGTGTTTGGTCAAATACCACCACAAAGTAAGAGAAGGAGTCAAAGATAAGCAAAGGGGCTTCTAATCTGAGAAAAGAGAAAAAAGGCTTTGTGGAGGGAGGTCATGGGTGGCAGAGGTCACTTTTACACTTCAAGGTCACAGTGAAGTGGGATACTTGTAAGGGGTATCAGCAAACAGCCATGCTCTCTACACAACTAGATAAAGGCAATCAGAGTCACCAAACTCTACTGAACTGACACATGACACGTTACATAAGTTGTTGCCACACTAAGGTAATTACAGAAGAACCATCAGCATCTAATGATCCGTGGCACAACGGGTTGTGAAAAGGAAATATAAAAATGTGAGATTTCAAAAAGGAAGGTCATATAGACATTGACTGCTCAAATGTGACTAACTGAAAATGAAAAAAATGGGATTAGTTATAAATGGAAAGTGAGTACTCATTTATATTCTAATCAGCCTCTAAAGCTTAAGAGATAATAGCTGGCTATTAGTGTTTCCATTTCAAGTTAAGCTTTACTTCCTCTAATCATTAATTCTTTCACAACTTTTCTGAAGACCCTAAAGCATTAATTTTCTAAATTTTAAATAAACACTAATGGCAATACACTAGTAATAATATCTTCTTATATAAGGCAAAGGCCCTAAACAAACAAATGTCCATTGCCAGAGAGTCAATGCTGACTCATAGTGACCATACAAGACACAGTAAAGCTGCTTCCTAAAGTTTCTGAGACTGTAAATCCCCAAGAGGGCAATCTGCCTCATCTTTATCCATTTAGCTGCTGGCGGATTTGAACTTCAGACCTTGAGGCTCACAGCTTAACACACAACCCACTATGCCACCATGATTCCTCAAGGGCAAACACAGTCCTCAATAAATCAATATTGGCTTCTATTTCATGTTCTAGATTGATATACTTAACATTGACATATCTTACCCAACCCACGATCATAATTTCAATGAAAAACGATGACATTCTCAGCCACATTTACATGACAACAGATTCCTTCACCGAATAAACTCATCACTGTTCTAGCCTGAATTCGGTTGGCTATTGGTACAGCTAGACTAGGCATGGCACAGTTTATGGTCCAGCACCTGACCAGATGATTCCTCACCAGAGCGCATGTGCTGTAATCTTCTCCTTAACTCATTCCACTTAAGAATACCACCAGGAAGGACCAGGAGGAGTTACAAGTCAAGTGGAGGCTCACATGGTACCAGAGAAGCCCCTATCATATGTCCCAACTCAAACCCAAGTTTGGGTAACCAGCTAGTTGTGGTCAAAAGGCTCGCCAGAATTTCCAATCTGATGCTTCTCTTCATCCCCCACTAAGGTCTGGTTACTATACTTTTTTCCTCCCTCTCACGGTAGGTATGTCGTCCTGATCATGAATTGTACCTCTACACATTTCATGGTCACCCAGGCCTTTTCCTTGTGTGGGGGTTTCTATAACAGCAACATCTCAGCCTCGCTGTAATTGCCAAATTAAGGTGAAGTTTCCCCACTACAAGTACATTTCCACTTTAAACCTCTCCCTCTCCTTGTACACTCAAAGGCACCATTGTCTCAACCACAATGCCAAAGGAAGGGAGGGCAGGAATTATGAGTTTTCAAAGAAACAAGTGGTATAGACAAGAAGGAACTGAAAATCCACGAGAAAGGGAAATCACGGAAGACTCTTGGTACCACCTCTATTCTAATCACCTTGTGCCAAGACCACTACTCTCACCACTCCCCTCATTCTGGCCCCAGGACCAACAACAGGACCGTAACAGACTTAGACCTGTTTCCTTCGACTGTCTCAGTTTATTCTTTCATGTTTATAACGGCCCAAAATTAGAAATGTACCCACATTTCTAAGATTTCTCTTTTAATTTCAATGATCAATCTTAGGTGTACAATGACATGCATGATTCTTAAACAGATACATATGTGTTTTCAGGAGTGCTACACTAGCTCGCCATTTGACGCAGTTCCAACATTTCAGAAGGCTCCCGTGTGTCCTTTTGTAGTCTCCATGCCCCCTCCTAAAAGGTTCACAGTCCCACCACCATAGCTTAGCCTTGCAGGCTGTTGAACTTTCTATAAATGGAGTTATGTGGAGATATATGATTTTGATGTATATCATTTAAAGGGTTCCTTCATTATTATGCCTGAGAGTTTTATCAAAGTTGTTATGTGCATAAGCAGTTCATTATTTCTTACTGTTTTATTTTATTTCATTGTGTGAGCATATTAAAATTAATCTACTTGACTGCTGATTGACATTTCAGCTTCCAGTATCGGGCTATTTTGCGCAATGCTGTGTGAACATGTCTTTTGGTAGAAGAACATGTCTTTTGAGTATTCATTTCTCTTGAGTATGGATCTAGGAGATTATCTGGGTCACCAGAGAAGGCCCATGTTTACTTCAACACATTGCCTAACAGTTGTCCAAAGCAGTTATGCCAATTGACACTCCCATGACCAGTTGTTCCATATACACACCAACTTTACTGCATGTCTTTTAAATTTCAATCATTTGGGGGGTTTTAATTTGCCTATCTTCACTAGGCACGTGTACATAAAACATGGTCTTCTAATATAGAAATATATATGTATATATATATTCTAAGTTAGATTAGTTTTTCCTTAGCACTCAGGGACAGTTGCTGGTGGTCCTCCAAGAGGGATGTACCACTTACCTACAGGTCTTTGGAAGTCGGGCAATCACCAGGGACACTACACATTAAATATGTGGCTTAGACCACTGACAGCTGTCTGGCCAAAAATGTCAGCAGAGCCCCCATTGAGAAACACATTGGAGGAAAGTGTGAGCTTGTAAGACATGAGGGCCCATTTTGCAGTGTTGTCGTCTGAGGAGCACAATCAGACAGAGGTGGGCATTGACTACAGCGAGGAATTGAAGGGTTTTTTATTCGCTTGAACTTAGGACATTTCCTAGCTGCCTCGCAGACCGTGCCTTAGTGTCAAGAAAGCCAGGAGGCACTGCTAGAAACCAAATAGGACACCGAGTCCCAGCACTGTAATAACCGATCAGGATCCTGATACGATTCATCAGATACAAATATGCACGATGTGCAGCTCTGTTCTGCGATGCCCTGGGCAATCTGCAGCCCTGCTTTAAATAAGCCAAACTCATTGCCATCGGGTCAATGCCAACTCATAGCCACCTGACAGGTCCGAGTAGAACTGCTCCTGGGGGTTTCTGAGACTGTAAATCTTCAAGGATATAGAAATCCTTATCATTCCCCCACAGAGCTACTGACCCTACTATTAATATACCACTGAGTAATCCACTATATGCCACCCGGGCCAGCTGCTTAAAGCAAAGTGGTCCCTTTTAATGCTTCAAATTCTATGCTAAGATGGCATGCATTTAAAGGGTTCTATTAAGAAAATTTGAAAATCACTGATTTATAATATCATTTCTGTGACAAATCATGTTCTGAGTTGCAACCACTCACTGAAAATTGAACTTTGGACATCTACTGATAAACAGCAAACTTGCTTATATGCAAAGTCTAAAAATCAACAGGCATTCTCTATTGCTTGACTACTCCAGTCTTCTAGTCCATGCCTTGTTTCTGGAAAGGACACCATGTGGATAGGTAAATTAT